TCCCTCGTGGCTCGCAGCCGGGTGCAGGGCATTCTGGGGGATGCTTGAGGCAGGGCTCCCTTGTACGATTGTCAGCAAAACGCTACCCAGTTCTTCTTCCAAAGAAGCTCCATTGGTTTCTGTACGCCCAGCAGCGGCAAACGAGTTGTGCTTGTTGCATCTGAGCCTGTTGTGCAATGTCCTAAAGACAGACCAATTATCGCGTCCCTGGGTTCACGTACTAGATATGCACGAGGCACGTACCGCCAAATTCGGTGCCGTCTTAGTTTCGATCGACTGTCATGTCAATATTGTATTGAATGTCTAGGCCGTTGTTTCGTTCGTCATCTCCAAGATTGGCCGACACATTCATTTCAGGTGAGAATTCAAGACAGCGGAAAGGTGATGATCATTCTCCTTTGTCGAGATGGACGGAAAAATGAGGTGCCTGCTGTATACGGGCTGTGCTTGCCAGGTTCGTGCTTAAGGCAGGTGCTTCTCAGATGGGGTTGCCCGATTTCGGGACACCCTGAGTTGCTGCGTCAGGTCTGCCAAGGGAAGGGTCCTGTCCTCTACCAATCTCGATCTTCATCTTGAAAGCCTTCATCTCTTCTCGCTAACAATACGACGAGATCTCAAGTGCTCGACAACGGATGTATCAGACGTGCTCCGTACAGACAAAGCAACCACACACGACTGACGATCTGCCGCCCCGGTCTGGAGCACCGCTGAGGCTCCTCCGCCAACTAGTCCTAGTGCCGCGGTCTGAGCTCGACTTACTTGCATCGCGTTAGTGCCACCGTAAAAAGCAAGCATTACTCCTAACTGGAAAGCCACCCTCCAACTCGACGCCCGAATATCCCAGCTTGATGCTCTGATTTGGCAGTCGTTAACACATGAGGCATCGCCACAGTTCTGGTTTCCAACTGTTCAGGCTGATTACAGGTCGGCCCCTGTGACCAGCTGTGCATGGAAAAAACCGTCACATACTGGCAAGGAGACCACCTTAATTCATGCATGTCTGGCCAGCAAGTGAGAGCCCTCCAATGCCTGCTTGCATTATCAACTAAATTAGCATCGCAGCCTTATGGCGGCTGAAGAGCATACAATCGTGAGTTGTCACCGTTTTAGCCAGAATTGGATGCCAACCCGACCTTTCAAGCTGACTGACAACTCGCATCATCGATATCCGCTCTATATGACAGCTGCTATCAATGACAACCCTGCGTCAGGGATCTCGCGTCACCGTTCCTACGAATCAGCTTGACAGTTGAGTATCCGACAATCTCTGCCATGCAGCATCAAGGAGCATTCCTGCTCCAAAGATCCGCTGATCTGCCGTTTCCTCCGCAGCACGACACCGGATGTTTGCCTCGGAGGACTGCGCGTTCATACCTTGACAGCCTGGAGCTGAATGGCTTGTCAAAACCAACGATGCGTCTCGACATCGTCGCATGCCGTTGGGCAAGGGGTCCCTGAAACTGACACGACGGCGCTCTTGTATCCTGCGAAGCTAGTGGCATGGCGGGACCGCACCTTGCTTGAGAGACGTGATGGATGCGCGATTCTTGGTGAGCGAGTTTGTTCCCATCGCGTTTGTATTGGAATGTCCGTCTTCCACCAACCAAGGTTGCTCGATTTCCCTTGCACAAGACAGGAATCCTGTTGTGCTTGATAGAACGCCAGGTTTCATATTAGCTGTCACCTTGCACCACGTCCCCTTTTCTAGTTGACCAATTTTGATAGTTCTTCCGTCACGGCTCGGCCAAAGGGTTCTCCTCGCTCCGGCGTTGCTCAAGAACCCTTCAAGATACTCCGTAGGTGCTCCGCAGTGAGAAAAACGGAGCAGGGATCTCGTCCCCCACGGTCCGGTCCCACAGTGAGTGACCTGAAACAATGCAGGGATGCCGGTGGCAGCGTCGCGACCGCGTTTCTTGAGAAGCTATCCGTCCCCGACAGCTTTGAAGCCATCAGGGATACGACACGAACAGGCGGAGGATAGGCTGCCCCAGACAAGGGACCTTTCCCAATTCTTCTAGAACGGCGGCCTCAATACTATCTTTGGAATCAGAACCATCTTTGAAACGGCTCGCCAGGCATTGTTTCAGGAGAAGCCAAGGTCAGCCGTTCTGCTTGTCTCCTCAACAGCTTCGCTAACCAGCACAACGGACTGGAATTGACGGCCGACAGTCTGGTTATCGGCCGAATGTTTCCAGAAGCTGTTGACACCATCTTCAGTCCTATATGATGCGACGTAAAGACTGACAGGCCTTGCCTCCCGGGGATCTCGACGAGCTTGGACCTCGAAGGACGTTCAAGCTTGGTGTGTCACGGTGGACGCGTCTGGGTACCGCAGATCGGCGTTGTCTTCGAGAAACTGCATCCATTTCTTCAAGAAGCTGCTTCCTCTGTGGCACAGGTAATACACATTAGCGGTGCTCCGTCTCAGGTGGACAGCTGGAACAATCTGCGCAGTGGTTGTCAAACCGGAGGCTGCAGCTTTGAGGCCCAGCATGCAAAAGTGGCCATCGCTTACCTCTGAACGGTTTCCGAGTCTCCGATAACTGTCAACGAGCGCTTGGGACGTGTCATTGCGACTAGACGCTCCTGCATTAGTGACGGCCCCATCATGTCGGACCCAGCCTATTGAGGATGGCCGGAATTGGATCTTTCAAACTCACCATTGAGACGGCGCTTCTCGCCAAGGAAGCCGACCTCGCCTTCAGAGTTACTCCGGACGAGGCTCACAATGACTGCCTCTTTCTCGCGGCCCTGAAACCCGTCCACACTGCCTAGCTCTATGCCGGGGAACTTGTCCTTGAGCGAAGCCAGTACGGCGAGCTTGGGGTTGATATGTATCAGCCTACGTCTCACAAAGACATGATGTGTCCAAGACAATCAACTTACCTGGGCATTGTAGGGGGTCACGACGGCAATATCTTCCGGACGGACTCCGGCCTCGACGAGCTGCTCCACGTGCTGTCGCACGAGGGCTGCCTCCATCTCGTTGCTCTTGCTCTCGCCGTGTAAGCTTGCTCTACCCTTTTTGGGGTTATCCTTGTCGTCTTCCTCGTTCTTCTCTGGAAAGTCTCCGCCCTGTGTGTCGATGAATATGAGGGGCTCATTGGTGTTTTCATTATCCTCAACGTCGTAATCCAAGTCTTTGAGGAGGCGGTGTTTCACGGCGTCCGCCGCGATTAGCTTGGACTCGTATAGTTCATCAGAGGGGAAGCGCATGATGCCCTCATGCATTCGGTACTGCGTAGTGAGCATGCGCTTGATGGAAGGCCCATGCAAGGCCAGCAACCTGTCGAAAAGAGTGGTTTCGAGGGTGGCACCCTTGGGGATCTTGACACCATCTTTGATTGCCGGTTTGACCTTTGTGTTGGACGACTTGATGGTGGGAGGGAGCTGTAGATGGTCACCAGCACAGACAACCTTCTTTGCCGACAGCAAGGGAACCCAACACTGGGCCTCGAGGGCCTGACTAGCCTCGTCTATAATGACGACGTCAAACTCCTGGTTGCGTAGCTGGAAACCACCTGCGCCATGTAGCGTTGCGAGAACAACCTTGCTTCCGTCGATGAGGCTACTAACGCAGCGGCGCTCTCTCTCACGATATTCTTTACGTAGCTCCTTCAGGTCGGCGTAGATGGCCTTGCGCTCCCTACCGCTCTTGGTCTTTTTGATGGAGGCTTGCTTGGCATCCATCTCGGACCGGACATCCTTCACTATAGCCCCAGCCTCGGATGTCTGAGTGAGCACGTCTAGAGAGTGGTTTAGAACAGAGGGCAAAAGACGGGCAGGGTGACCAAGTCGAAGGATTGGGACTTTGTGAGGCGAGAGTCGCTCAACGATGTTGTCGACAGATATATTGGAAGGACCGCAGACAAGGATTCTCTGACCGAGTTTGATCATTTGGAGAATCAACTCGATTAGAGTATGAGTTTTGCCGGTCTATACATGTCAGCGAGGTAACATGTACCAGCAAGTCTGGTCAACTCACCCCAGGGGGGCCATGGATCAAGGCCACCTCGCGGGAAACTAGGGCAAATCGAATTGCATCCTTTTGTGAATCGTTGAGGGTGGGATCAAACCAGTCGATTTGACCAACGTTTTCATTTTTGGTCAGATCCTGGGCGACTGGTGATGGGCTTGACAAGCCAAAGAGAACTCTGATGAAGCTCGAGTATTCCGACTCGGTCATCTTTTGCAGCTTCTCCATGGTTTGATTCATCCTAGGCAGTATCAATATGATATGAGAGATGGAGGCAGTGGGCAGAAGAGGAGCTTAGCCATACCGCTTATACGTCACCTCGTCTGCCAGCTTAACAGCCCAGACTCTTCCTGAGAAAGCAACTTCATCCTTTCCCTCGTCCAGCGCAACGCCTATCCACCCACGACTCACTTTTGTCACGACACCTCTAGCACCTTTCTTCTCAAGCTCCTTGATCTCGCGCTTTTTAGCACTCCCCGCGGGCTGCTCAGCAACAAGGACAATATCTCCAGTGCGTAGACCATGTTCGGGAAGCTCGCCGTCGGCACCAGCGCGGGCGGTGGCAGCATCAGGCGAGAGCTCAAAGACAGTCCTGCCACCGAACCCGGTACGCTGGGCCGAGACGACGAGGTTAGTCAAGGCCAGACCGGCGCGTTGGAGGCCCGTGGGGCTGTGGTTTGAGATGAGGGTGCTCGTCTCGCTGATCTCGGTCTGAAGCTCCTGATCCAGGAGGGCGAGCTGGGTTGACGCAAAGGTGGGGACGTCGAGGGGCTCTATCCCGGGTGCCATGATGTACGAGTCTCTAAAAGGAATGGACGGATGGAAAGTTGGAGTGTCAAAAGTGTTCGAGGGTGTGTATGAGTGAAAGGTGGGATTTCATGTGTGTGGGTGTGATGAGGGGAGCTCCGGAGAAGGACCCCACTACGGTTCAAGCTCTGACGTCTGCCTGCCTTGTTGGGAAGGATTTGAGATCAACATCATGAGAACTAAACACGATAGAAGACATGATTTTCAACATAGGCTTAATATTTGCAATGTCGTAAGTATATATTATTCAACTTGGCCATTCTGGTTCTCGTACAAGCCTCAAACAGCGCCGAGGTGCATAACCATTCTGCTGGTATCAAGTCATGATGCAGTTCAGTTCAGTTCCCATACTTATACTGTAATCACGCTGCGCAAAAAGTCCTAAGCGCAACATCAAGCAAAAACTCCAAGCATAAACGCTCCCATCTTCATACCAAGATAGCCCCAAGAGATCATTATAAACCCAACACTCATGGTAAACCCAAAGATTAAAGCACCAAGACTTTACAATTCCCGTTCGGACGGATGTATAGCAATCACAACCACGAGGGAAGCTACCATGATGGCAAAGGCAACAAAGGCGACAATGGTGACGGTACCGCGGCTGGCAGGGAACTTGCCCTGCATTACCCAATGCTGAGACTGGAAATATCGCCTGTAACCGAGGAACAGGGTGAGAATGCTGATGCCGAGGAACGTTGTGCCCAAAGGCTTGCCCATCTGACGAAGCGTGTCCATGTTCTTGGTGGCGTCGATGCCGCCGTCGAGGGAAGTGTTGAGTCGGAAGAGTTGTGTTACTGCTATGCCAATTGAGGCGAAGCTGAGGGATGTTCGGAGCCAGGCGAGGAAGGTTCGTTCTAAGAAGTCATTGTTAGAGACTTGATGTGTTGAGCTTCAAGAGGTGGGATTACCAATGGCGAGGTGATCTCGAGCAACACTTCCCTTGTTCTCGAGCTCAATGGATTGAAACTTTTCGGCTTGGACCTGCCACCATGATGGGCCCTTGTCCTCAGGCTCGGACTGCCGTGAGTATGTCATGCCGGGGGCAGCAGGAGGGTGAGCATCGGAGCTCTGCTGCTGCGAGGCCGGCCTTGACCGACGTGTGCTCCGGGTTGACGTCTTCCGCACGCGGGCTCCTGAGGTTACGGCGGCATTGTTTGTGTTTGTGGTTGTAGTTGTGACGGAGTTGTAGTTGAGCGGCGGAGTGTGGGCGATGAAGCCGGTGGCCTCGTCGGCGCTGCTATCCTCTATGATTGGGTTCACCGCCGAGTTGGTCCGGGGCGGGAAGATGGGGCTTCCGGGAGCCCGGGGAGACTTTGGGGAGGCGGTGCCGGACACCATTGTTTCGGCGCGCTCACGGGCGTTCTGTTCAAGAGGCAAAGCTCCTGGTCAGCGCTTCACTTTTCCAACGTTTTGGCTAATGGATCAAGCTTGATCGAGTATTCGTAGGGGTCAAAAGTAAAAAAGAGGAAGAAAAAGAAGGTTAAGGTAGCTCGAGTACGCGAGCTTTGGCCGATCTATCGGAAGCTATGTCTAGCAGGGAAAGATGGCCGGGGGGTGAGTGAGGGGGGTTCACATGCGCCACAGCGCGATGAGATGGGAAGACGCAAGAAGAGGAGAAGTTGTCACGCTCTAGTATTCACGCGAGCATGGATAGAGGATGTATCGAGAGTTTTGAGGTACATCTTTTATCCTTGCGCAAGACAAACAAAAAACATGCAACCACCAACCAGACGGGGAAACCTTACCTCGAGTATCTCGTTTATGCGCGCATTCGACGATTGGTGTCTGCCGCTGCTCAGCTGGAAATTGACATTGGCAGATGCATTGGCAGAGGCAGAGGCAGAGGCATTGGAAGGCGTCCTTCCCGAGACACTTTGTCCCGTGGACTCGCGCGTCAGGGCGGGGACCACAGGGTCCGGCGCTGCGGGATGAGGAGCGGCATCCTCAGCCATGGAAGCTATCTTGCAGTGGATGCAGACTGGTTGTTAGCGGATGGTGAGATAGAGTCGCCAAGGTTACAGGTGGCGTCAAAGGCGGATAACGGGGCAGTTGGAACGATAGGCGTCGAAGGTAAGATAGAGACAGAGGAAGAAAAAAATGTTGTCAAGTTCGAGATTCAAAAGTTGGAGGTGCTCCCATCGTGACGCCAGCTGCGGGCTCCATTCAAGTCATGGGTCCCCCATCTCAGTGGAGCCCGAACCAGCCTGTGGTGCCATGGATCTGCCATCTTTTGCTTGTGCTTGTGACGAGGGGTGGTCGCGCTACAGGCGCTGAGAGGATCAATAAAGGACCCCCATCCCATTCAATTGAACGCCTGGAGAGGGCGGGACGATTTCTTAGATGCAGCACTGCCGAGTCCGATCTCTGGGGGGGACTGAGTAAAAATGGCACGAGATTGGGCTAGAAGCACGTCAGCGAGCTAGCACCAAAATGATGACTCGGGGACCTAGATACCATCATAGTCGAGATCTTTTCTGAATGCCTTCACTTTTTAAGTCAAATACTCGAAGATGCAATCAATTCTGCACATACCTCATCTCACATCCGTGACCCCGGATGACAGACCCTTATGATTCAACCCCTTCGTCATCTGACCTCACCACACCCACCACCCATTGGACCCTTTCAACTCCCGTGATGCACACCAACGCAAGGCACCCTGCCACTCCCACAGGCTGAGCAGTGATAATCGCTGTCAGGCTGGCGGCATGCAGCAGCCAGGACCCTTCTTATGCGCGAGAGAAAGTCCAGACAGAATCTGACATCTTCCCTCTGACTTCCTGGCGGGGTTCTAGCTTCATGCTCTTATATTTGTAAATCGCCGACGACCCGTTGTCCAACTTAAATAGCCCTCCCATGTCTCGTCCGTTATTTCCTCACCTTAATAATCTCCGGCTCCGTGCGACATTCGGAGTTAAACAATAAAATCACGGGCGTTTCCTCCGCGCTTTTATTTTTACTGCTTTCCCTTTTAGGAAAACAATCCAAAGCCTCGGTAACTCGGCGCCTTTACCTCCGTGTCAAACTCCGGACATCGTCATAGAACAACGAAGATGGTATGAGAAACTCCATTGCTCTAATTGTCTCACAAATACGCGAATAGAATTGTATTCCCTTTTAGGAAAACAATTCATGTTCAGAGGACCATGTTCTTATTCCGTGTCTTTACTCCGTACCGCGAATCCGTGTATTGCTGCGGACATCGTGGAGCTACGACGATGACGGCGGTAAGAGAAGGTTGGAGTTATGGAGGACATGGCAAAGATAAATAGACAGTGTACAGACCTCTCCAGGAACTCAATAAACACATCATCATCTCAATCAACAAACAAGACCACACTCTCAACCAACTTCTCAACCCTTATACCATCATCATGACTTACACCATTCTTGGAAAGGAAGTCGGCCCTATCGGCTACGGTCTCATGAGTACTACTCCCTCAACACCCAATTCCAACGTGATTCTCTAACACCTCATCCAGGCCTCACCATGCGTCCCCTCTCGGACGATATCGCCTTCGCCGCCATCCGCGCCGCCCTCGACTCGGGCTGCAACTACCTCAATGGCGGTGAATTCTACGGCCCCCCTGACGCAAACTCCCTGACCCTCATGCGTCGATACCTTGAAAAGTACCCTGAGGATGCCGACCGCATAGTCCTCAACATCAAGGGCGCCCTCGGCCCTGACTACCGACCTCGCGGCACAAAGGAGGGCGTCCGCGAGAGCATCGACAACTGCCTGAAGACGCTGGGTCCTGTGGGACGCATCAGCCAGTTCGAGGCTGCCCGCAAGGATCCCAACTCGGACTATGAGGAAGAGACTCTGGCTGCCATTGACGAGTATGTCAAGGCGGGAAAGATTGACGGCATCTCGTGCAGCGAGATCAACGTCAACACCCTTCGCAGTGCTGCCATGAAGTACAACATCACGGCTCTGGAAATTGAGGTCTCGCTCTTCACTCCCGAGCCCCTCACCAACGGCCTTCTTGAGGCTTGTGGCGAGCTCGACATTCCTGTTCTCGCATACTGTAAGTCGCCCCTATACCTTCACCCTGACAGCACAAGGCTAACTGACAACCTCAGCTCCCCTCGGCAGAGGCTTCCTCGGTGGCCAGATCAAGTCATTTGACGAGCTCCCCGAGAACGACTTCCGCCGCATCAACCCTCGCTGGCAGGGTGAAAACTTCACCAAGAACCTCGAACTCGTCTCCTCCATCGAGGCCATCGCCAAGAAGAAGGGCTGCACCACCGGCCAGGTCGCCATTAACTGGCTTGTCGCCCTGTCGAAGCGCCCTGGCATGCCCAAGATCATCCCCATTCCTGGCTCCACCAACCCGGACCGCATCCGCGAGAACGCAACTGTTGTTGACTTGAACGATGATGATATGGCCAGTATCGACAAGATCCTCGCTTCCTTTGAGACGGCTGGTGAGCGATACCCTGCCGCTCATATGGACTTGTTGGATGGTTAGATAGGGGCAGCGAGCACAGAGCAGAGGGATGAGTGGTAAACCAATTAGATAGACAAATGCTTTTCATTTCTTCATATCTTCGTATCATCATGATTCTTGTGTCAACATCGTCTCAAACAAGCCAACAATTGCTACTCGTTGTCCAGTAGGTGACCATATGGACCGGCAAGGGATGATGGCCAACCCTGTCGGCAAATCAACTTGCTCCCACAAAGACCCAACTTGAGTAGCGTCAACGTAGACAAGAGAAGACTTGTTGAGGCTGATATCGGGCTCGTTAGGGCGCAGTTGGCGGATGGACTCGTTGAGGGCCTTGCTCATGTCCGCCTCCAATCCACCAAGTGTAAAGTTTTGAGATGCCTCGTCACAATAATAGGCCAGAGTACTGTATATCACTGTGCCGCTTGTCGTTTGCACAACTGCATGCCAGGCATTCCAGCCTAGGATCCCGACTTCGGGAGGAGGAATCATCACAAGACTTGCATCATCCACCTTCGATAACCCGTTGTGAGCATGCCATTCCACATCAGACTGTCGGGGCAGCTCTTCAACCTCAACAGCAAAGGTTGGCGGGACACAAGTGTCAGGCTCGTTCTGCTGACGAAGGGTGAGGACCTCCCAGTCAGGAATCTTTGCGGGCTTCTCATCATTGGCTGCCAACGTCATGTAAGCCGGGTTGTACTTTAGATCCCAAGGATCAGGGCCGTTGTCATTGTCCTCATCATCGTCAGGAGATCCGTGAGCCTTCTTCCAAGCATGCCCTGCAATCTGAGCGCTGCGTTGCATCTCATTAGGAGAAGTGGCCTGAGGAAAGTAGGCAACTGAGCTTGTCCAGAATTGAATCTTGAGTTCTTGACCAACTCGCCAGAGATGCTGCAGAGAGAGCGCAACTTGGAGCTCGTGCGAGGTTTCAGAAGGGGCCGGGAGCAGCATCGTGGCTGGAATCAGGGGAATTTGTCCTGCAATGGAGATACATCGAAGACCAGTCGCCTGCTGGCGGATCGTAACGGGTACGTCTATGGCCTGACTGTAGGGACCAATGTTTGCAGGAGCCCAGTAGGACCGTGACTGGACATGAAGACCATTGCGGTCTTCAGATGCTTGAGACACAGGGGCAGTGAGATACACAGCGATGCTGACGCCATCCGGGAGCAGATCACCGCAGGATATGGTCACTCGAGCCGGCGGATTGGGTTTTGGAAACAGCTTTCCGTACTCCCCGTTGACCTTTGGAAAGTCTGACATGTGCCGCAGCACAATAATAGTGCTTGTGATCTGCGAGGGATCGATGGAAGCCTCTGACACCAGACTCCTGATCTTCGCCACGACCTGCACCGTCTGTTCCTGGATCGACGTCTCGCTCGTGCGCAGATCCGGGAGAACGGACCAGCGGTGAAGATCGATGTCGGCAGTTGCAGTCCCTGCACCCGCGGCGAATGGCGTTGGCTGCCTCGCAGAGGCAGAGACGTGCTTGGTCTCCTGTGCTGCCCAGGGTGCAGACAGCAGCTCATCCAACACGGCCTGGAACCTGGGATCGAGCAGATCAGGGATCCGAACTGTCGGCTCCTGTGCCTGTGCAGAATCTGGCTTTTCCTCGAGCCGTGCGCCCCCCAACAGGAGCCACGAGCAACCACCACCTTCACGCACGATCTTTCGCCCCTCGTCCGGGACGTTGATCCTCTTCTTGAAGACACGACAAGGTCCGTCGACGACGAGGGTCTCGAACTCGCCACCTTCTCCCAGGGCCGCTGCGCCTTCAGCTGCGCCAAACTTGCGAAGTGCGTTCTTCACACGCCGGGCCCCTGCCTCGCTGGATACCGGCTCCCAGAGATAGTCCTCGTCCAGACCAGCGCTGGCAACTTTGATGATCCGTGCCTCAAGCCCGGCGTTGGCCATGTCGACCAGTAGCTGGGTGTCACTTGCAGTGGCTGCGGATGGGGGTGGCAGGATCGGGTACTGCCATAGGTAGGCCAGGGGCGTGAGGCCAAGGCGCAGGGCGATTGACTCAACACGGGTGCGCTGGTAGGTAGAGAGAATAGCACCGGCGCAGAGGGCATTGGCCTCAGGATGGCGGGCGATGATGGCCTGGAGCAAGGGCAGCATGGACTCTGTCTCGTCGCTGTCCTGAGCGTCGGCCATCGTCGTCGCGTCGTAGTCCCTCTCATGGCGGACCGCACGTCCAGCGATGGGCAGGCGATAGAGCGGCAGTCCAGTCGCGGCGGCGTACAGGGGGAGAACTTCATGACCGACCGTCTGGTACATAAAGCTGTTCAGGTCCCTGTCAGGTTCGCCATGGCCATGTTCCTCGGCATCCGGTTGGGCCGCCCAGGTACCCGGGTCGATGACCTGAAGGCCCGCGGGAGATGGCAGCGCAGACGACGCACGAGGATTGGTCTCGAGCTCAGTCGTGGCGTCTTGCCCCCGGGATGATGACTGTTCCTGGACGAGGAGGGCGTGCTCTTGCTCTTGGCTGGTGTCCTCGTCTGCCGGGAACAGGTTCGCGAGGGCCACGATACGGTGGCCGTGCTCGATGCAGTGGATCAGGCTGAAGAAGCTGTCCTTGCCTCCCGAGATTAGAGCAATGACATTGAGCCCGTCCGACGACATGATTTGGTTGGGCGTTTGTTTCGTTGTCGTCGCAGCGAGTGGCGTGTCTGTCCGAGCAGCCGGAGCCGGGAAATGAGGCTCTAGCAATTAATCCAGAAGGCGGGCGTCTTCAAGCTGCTTTCCACTTTCCCTCGCTGTGCCGTGCTGCCTCGCTTGCGGGTATTTGGTGTGGTGAGTATCGATAGCGTGGTGTGTATTCATTTGGTGGTGGAGGTTTTTAGGTTGCTGCCGAGTCGTTGGTGGAGTCTTGGATCAAGCAATTAGAGTAGAGAACCCAATTGCTTGCGCTTGTTCCACGGTTCATGGCTTCACCATGGATGTTTCATCACGGACCACGACCGGACTGTCTACAACCTTCTTCACGGACCTGAGCTATTCATTCACTGATTGTATGGGGTGTTATCGTTTGCCTCTATTGAGCACGTACGTACCGGGCTACCTAGCAAGTTCAACAGCGCCGTCACGGTGCCCCGGCCGGGCCCTGATCCTGACCAGCCGGAAGCCAAGCCTCCCAAGTGTCAATTGGCGATGCCAATATCAATGATATTGCACCATGTCAATCCCGTCCTTGACGCAATCTCCCCGCCCCGTCTCTTTCGTCTCATCTCGTCTCATCTCCGGCTCCGGATCCTCTCCTCGGCGGGGAATACGTCCGGGGCGGCGATCACCCGAAGCCGGTGCTGCTTCTAGCTCAGGCATCGTTACTTGGTGAAGAAGGTCGTTCCTAGGAGGCAAATTCATCGACAGAGTGATTTGCAAACCCCTGCACAGTAATGAGCGACCTGTCCCCGCCCAAAAGGGAGCGCTATCCAGGATTCCAAAGACGCGGTGGCTGGCGGCGGGCGCCAGATGAGATCGCAATCGAAACTCCCGAGCTCTAGGCTCGACTGAAATCTCGGGCGAGAGAACCTGTCCCCTGTAGAGATGGCCTCTTAACCAGGGCACACAGAGAGTTGATGGAATCATGGCTGGCAGTCCAGGTCGTCAGCGGCTCAGTGCTCTTTGGCTTTGGGTTCATGCAAGGTCCATGGACGGCTCGGTACGCCCCAAAATTCCGCCTCGGAAAGCTTGGCTGAGCGCCCTCTCGTGGCTCCCTTGACCTCAAACCACTAATGTGACGAGGTCTACATCATCATCATGACTCGAGGCACTCCAGTTTGAGCTCAAGATTAGGGCGTGTGGTCCAGACTCGACAGCACAGCCAGTACAAAGATAAATTTTGCTCCGGGTCTGGAATGATCAAAGCCCCAAGGGAGGTGCAAGAAGTCTTGGTGATGGTTTCAAGCCAAGAAGCCCAACAAATGGATACGAGACACTGAGCATGAGACAGTCAAAAGACAAGGACTTGAAGTTTGGTGGCAGCATTTTGTAAATTTGACTGTTGTGTCAAGGTTTCTAAAAAGTGTACATGATTTGTTGTGAGGATAAGTGCCTGTCATGATTGTGACCAGCACATCCTGTACTCGACATCTTCCAAATTCAGCAACAGGAAAACGACAGACAATGAAGCAGAGTAAACACAAGAATGTGGCCGAGCTGTATGCGAAAAACAACAACCCCCTCCACGCGTCTCAAGTGATAACGTCGTCCCGGCGAGCCCTCTGATCCAGCTGCTGGCCGCCCGGGATGATTACAACGAGTGTAAGAACGGCAAGCCGCCAAGTTTTGATGGACGTCTTTGTCGTTGGTTGGCAAAACTCATCCATCACACCTTTCTTTCGATGCAAGCTTTGGTTCCCCAGATGTAAAAAATTCAAATTTTCCCCCTCGCGCCGGAATTGTGTCCATGGAATTTCCCCCCAATAATTGAAGCCTCGCTCAACCGGCTCGGGGACCGGGTTGGCTGGCAAACGCGATGCAACTCTCGAAATCAAAAGCAGAAAACGACAAATATCCTCCCTGGTCGTCAGGCGTAACAAGGAGGTCTTGGAAGTGTTGATACAGGTATTGCGACGATGTTCTTGTTGTAATGTTGTGTAAATGCATTCATAACCGCTTGCACTCTTTTTTGCTGTGAATCCCTTTTACCCAAGGATGTAACCCAAATGGAAATTGTTCCGTGACCCTACTACTACTACCACCGCCTAACTCGAGCGAGTGGCCAAGAGAAAAAAGAAGGTCGTCAGCGTCGTATCGGGCGTATATCAAGATGGTCGGCTGACTGTCTCGATCATGTTGTCGTGTTTTGTTGGCATGACCATTTAGTCGGAGCGCTTGCGCTTCTTCTTGCCCTGGTCGCTACCCTCGTCCGATGAGAGCTCGCTGGCGCTGCCGGGAACCTCGGAGGCGATCTGGAAGAGGACCTTGCCGTAGGCGCTGTAGTCATCTCCAGCAGGCTGAGGCACCATGGAGGTATCATAGGCGTGGCTGTCATCGTCGATGAGGTTCATGACGATGGCACCGCTGCCGTGGGTGCGGGCGTGCTGAGCGAGGTTATCACTCCTCGAGAACTTCTTGCCACACTCGTTGCACTCAAAAGGCTTCTCCTGAGTGTGAAGAGAGCGGTAGTGGCGCTTGAGGTGCTCCTGGCGGCGGAATCGGCGGTTGCAAAGATCGCACACAAAGGTCTTGGAGGGATCCTCAGTGAGGGACTGCTTACGTCCCCGGCGGTTGGCGGGAGCGGGAAGAGGAGTGGGAGCAGCCTCGGAACCGCTGGAAGCGTTGGAGTCGCTGACATCGCCGGCAGCATCAGCAGCCTGGGTGGGGGTCTGCTGGGCGCTGCCCGACTGGGTGGTGGAAGCGGCAACGTTCATGACGGGAGCAGCAACAGTCTCGGTCTTGTGGGTCTTCTTGACGCGCTTGTCTTGGTGGCAGTCCTCAGACTGGCAAGTGGGAGGGCTGGGAAGAGCAGGGAACTGGAAAGCCTCGTTCTCATCAAAAGACAGGTCCTCGTCACCAATGAAGCTACCGTGGCCAAGAGAGACGACGGAAGAGCCAGTGCAGGCACGGGGGCGACCAATATCAGACTGCTCAGCTCCGAGGTTGACAAGGCTGTTCACAAAGTCGTCCTCAGACTCAAAGTCGGAGAAATCTTCAAAAGTGGGCAGGCCGTTGGGGATAGCAGGGTTGAAGTCAAAGGACTGAGCAGCGATAGGCTTGGGCTCAACCTTGATCTCGTCAACCAGGGAGAACTCGGGGGTCAGGGCGTTAACGGCGGCACCAGAGACGGTCAAGTTCCTGGGATCGCAAAAGTCGACGTCGTGGTCAGGAGTGGTCACTGAGCGCGCGTAGGGAGCAGGCGAAGGCGAGAGTGAAGGCGTGGACAAGAGGTCGCTGGCGGTGTTGCTAAGCGAGGGAACCTTGCCGAGTTGAGATTGGAGGTACACTGCCAATCGCGGTTAGTCTCAGGTCTTTCCCGCGATACCCCACTATTCAGGTGCTATGAGCCATGACAGCGCAGCGCTTTTTGGTGGAGGCCAGCCAAACTGCGCCTCGGTGCTGATTGGAGCCCGAGGCCGCCAACGTCAACCATAAGCACACCACCATCTCCCGTGGCCAAACCCAAAAATAGGCTCGAGCCCGGGTTTGCCGCACAATGGGATTGTTCTCCTCGTATGCGATGCCATAATGGGAAGGATCTGAGTAATAAAGGAAATGCTAAAATAGCTGCTGTAACTTACCAGGTGTCATGGGAGGGGATCCGCAGCTGGACCAGTCAAGGACAGATGTCTCGGCGGGCTCGAGGCCCTCCTTGATACCGTCCATGCCATCCAGTCCCGAGAACATGGGGTTCATGGGAGTCTGAAGCACCTCGCAGGCGCTGGGACTGCCGATGGTGCTTCCAGAGGTCGACAGTGGTGGGGTCGAGGGGAAGTACGAGTTGTCGTACAGCTCACTCTCCAGCATGATGGCAGGCTTATGGGACATGGGCTGGGGCGAGGCAGTTGGTGTCATGACGGCGGGACCGTTGCTGTACAGCGTGGGAGGCTGCGAGTTGCTGGCAGAGTTGGGTCGCGAGTAGACGGGAGTCGAGGGCAGTGTAGGGACCATGGGATACATGGGCATCTGCTGCATGGGCTGCTGCTGCTGGAAGTGTTGTCGCACCTCGTTCTTGGCCTCTGGGTTGTAGAAGTAGAAGGGAGCTTGGCCAATGGCCTGGGGCATCATGGTAGCGTCCATTTCTGCTGTAGAGTCCTTCATGTCAGCCACTGCGCCTAGTCATGGCCAGTCAGGTTGGTATTTGTAGGATTCCACAAACCTTGATAGAGTTGGACTCTGGGGTTGTTGGTGGTGCTTGACCGGTTTTAGATATTAGGTAGGTTGGATCCGGTATTGTAATACAGTTTGCTTCGCGACAAGACTGGCAGTCGGCCTAACGATGGTGGTGATTGTTCGGTTCCTTGGGTGGAAGAGAGTGGACGACAAGTGTCTGGCGGAGCAGTAACTGTCTGGATGGGGGAGGGTGACTCGATTATTAGGTGCGTTGGTTGGGGACGTTCTTGTTGTACATGGAAAACACTCGAGTCCAGTCTAAGAGACGATGTAGAGCAGGACGGGAGGGTTTATCAAGTATGTCGAGAGTGCCGCAAGATGTTGTTAATGAGTGTGAGGACTCTCGAAAGGCGAGGATATCCAGCAAATAAGAACGAGTCACAAAAGAAGGAAGAACCGAGCGGGCATAAAAGAGAAGAGATGATTACACAGATCCGACACTGCTGTTGTCGATCATACCTTTTGATGCGGAGGGAAACGAACGATGGACAAGCACGGGGACCATCGAGTGATAAGTACCTCCAGCGACGAAGCCCAGCAGCGCCTTCACTCACACGGGTCGGCCCAGATGAGCACGATAGGCAGATGGAAAACCCTCCGTCGCCTCCATGCCCTTGTCTCACTCGAGGAGCCAGGGTCAGGGAGCTGTGGACCAAGATCCACCTACACCACATCCCATTCTCTGGATCCACCATATCCCATCCCCATCCATCTCGCTCTCTTCTGTGGCCTTGCCTTGTCATTCTGCTCCCTCCCAGTCATCTCCATCCACGCCCAAGCCCTCACCCACCCACGCCCACGTCCTCTTATCCACAATCCCACCCGGCGGCGGGCCAGACGGCAGAGTGCCCCCGGACCCCTGGCCAAGTCATGTCTGGGGCAAGGGAAACATCAGATGCGGGTCTGGGCGTCCCTGGCCCTGGGCCTTGTCATCCACCGTCTCTGCCAGTACGGGCCTTGGGGCCACGGTTCCATCCACACCACCATGGCGCAGCCACTGGCTTTTCTAATTCTGGACGATGTCTGCTGGGAGCTTGAGCCCTTTGGTCGCCGGATGGTCCGCCGCGGTATGAAGAGTAGCCCCCGGAACCTATCCTGTCCCGTACCAATGCAACGACCCATGTCCCGACTGAAGAGAGAGCTCGGCCATAAAGTAGTGGATAGGTATGGATGGGTTGTGGATGTGGATGGGATGGGCACCAAGCTCGCAAAAAGAGGGTCCCTAGTCGCCTGTGCAAGCTTGTGCGAGCATGCACAACTCCCATGTCTCTCCCTCGGTGTCTCTTGTGTTTTGTGTGTGTGGTGTCGTCCATCCGTCAGTTTTTTTCTTCTTGGTGGTTTTTTGTTTTTTTGGTGCCTGCCTGTACGCGCGTAGTGCGTGATATGTGTGGCCATAATCCACAATCCGTTCAGCTGGCTGCCCTCCATCAACGATCCAGCGAACGGAACGGCTGCCACAGCCGCCATTGATGATGAGCACATCTCGCACATTTCTTCTCATCCCTCGTCTTATCCCTTCCGTTCGTTTGAATGGCTTGCGCTATGTGCTCGACCTCTCACTGTCCACCAGTGGAGATGTTGGGATGCCAGACGCGCTTGGGAGTTATGCCATGGCCCCAGCCAAGATGCGCCATGGTGCAATCCCACTCGCCAGCGCGACCTCCGTATATACCCAAGTGGCACGCAATCCGCAAACCGCGTCACAAGGGCTGCATAATCCCGCGCACTGATAGGGCGGCGCCGTCGCGAGTCGCCGTGCATCGGCGTGCATCACCGCGCCTCGCCGCGAGAGAATAAATAAAACAGATTGGGCGAGTCCATAACGGGTCCTGGCCGTGCACAACTCCGATTTTGTCCACTCGGAACTGTGCTGTGCACCCTTCTCGTCTTTGCATGTCGACGGCGCCAGACATGTGCACAGCCATTCGCTGGGCTGATGTCGTGTCACATCCACCTGCCCTCGAGCGCTATGCTCCGATGCATCGTCGGACGTCCAATGCAAGGCACAAACGACGGCGTCGCGCTGTTTCGGTTGCTGATCACCTCAATACGGGCTCTTGCTTGGTGGATGCGGATATGCAGTCGACGCCGTGGAGCGCCCGACGTCACCATCACCATTGCCGTCATCGTTGCGCGGCTCAAGCTGGAGGGAGCCCGTTGTTAGTGATGATGCCGCTTGTTGCTCTGGTTGGATCTGCGCCTCGTCACAGCGCGTGGGCGGATATGGAGCAGAGGGCTTGTTTGTTGGAGCATTCGCCCATCATCGCTCAAGATAGCCAAAAGACGAAACAAGGAGTGTAAGCTAAAGCTTGATGCCGCGGCAGTCGAGGTGACAGGTGTGCGATATGTTTGACCTGTCTGCTCTGTTGACTGGCTACTCCGTTGCTGACTGGCTGCAAACTGGCTGGTGTGATTGCTTGCCGAGGACCTGATTGCTTCGCTTTGCTTGCTCGCTTGCTTGGCCGCTTGCTTGCTTGATTGCTTGCTTGCCTGTTCGCATGCTGCTCATCATGGTCACGTTCAGCCCGGCTTGCATATCAAGGTAGATGATGCGAGCACCCTGTCAATGTGCCATTCCCAACGGCGGATACTGACATGGAACGGATGCACCGTCAAACGACGCAGGAAGCTGCAACTCGAGGTGTCATCCAGTCGAGTCGAGTCCTCTGTAGCTTGTCCCGAAACCGTAGCATTGTCAATGTCAGAGGACGAATAGTCATGCCACTATAGCCACCTCTTGAGCCAAACAAGAAAGACAAGCAATGGCGATGTGGGCCACTAAACTGATCAACAATGTCACCGAAGCCTGCTGCGACCTGGAATAAGGCAGGTCCGAAGGACGCTGATACAGCCCCCGCCAGAATTAATTTTATGCGGCAAGCCCGGGTGCGCACGCTCTTGCGCTCTGACGTCGGTTGTCGCATTGGCCTGTGCATAAAACGGGATGGAGCGTCCCTGGCACCTACCAACTCGGGGAAAGCTGTCTGGCCCTAGTCCTAATGTGAGATGTTATACCTCGTACCTGAGCTTCCATTATTCTGCAACGCCCGCCATTGATTGACCCAGAGCCAGACCAGACCATGGGCGAGCCAGTTGTGGACGTGGATAGTGACAGAGTGGATGGTCTATTGTGGATGGCGTATGACGACCTATGGACCGTCCGGGCAGCATTGCGTAAGTGCGGTTGACCTTGAAGTGCTGAACATGTTAGTTGCAGCAAGATTCCATAACCCAACCCGCCCAGTCCCGCCAGGTCCGAGGCGTTTGGCCGTTCGAGCTGAGGCTTAGAGGCTTGAGCCCATGGCCCGCATGGTTCAACGCAGAAGCCGTCTTCCAGGTAGGTAGGTAGCTACGTTGTATGGCATGAAGGAGGCCTATCTTCGGCCAACTCAATGGAAGGGTTAAACAGCGTTACCTCGGTTTATGCGAACGTCTAAATTGTTACCTAATTGCCCATCTACCCTGAGGATAAGGTAAATTTGACATGTCCGAACAAGGACAAGACCGACCCAGCCAGTCGTCCCCGGTAGCGATAGGCTCACAGTCCCCAATTTGCCAAAGGGTCCCGAGGAAAGAGAGACGACTTCTAAATGCAACGTCAGAGGATCCCAGAATCCCAGAATCCCAGCAGCCTCGAGATCCCAGGAATCTAGGACCTAAGCAAGCGTAATGCAACCAGCGACGCTCCGGCCCCTGACCCGGCCAATCGTCTTGAACCAGACGTCCCTTCTGGGGAAGGTGCTACGCGGCCGTGTCTTGGCTTGTTGCTTTGTCCCGTCTGGCCTGGGCGTTCAACTGCGCCTGTTCGCTGGCTGCACCGGGCTGCCTCAACTCCTTCAAGCCCGCCGCTTGGCCCGCCACCAAATCGTCGCCAGCAGCCAGTGGGCGCCCGCGTTGGCTTGGCTTCTCAGGTTCTCCATTCCCCATCCATTGTCAAGTCAGGCACAGCACAGGTACAGCAGCCAGAGAGCACGCACTGAGAGCTAGAGTTGGGCGCCACAAGCTTCAGCTCCCCTCGGCCACGATCACCGCACCATGAGGCCGGTGCGCCATGCACCAGGCTCCGTGCGCCGACAGTATCACGGCCGCTGACAAGGACGTTGACTCAAGCAGCTTGTTCGACATCCGCCAGTCGACAATAACAGCGACGCCGTCGTCGACGCCGCCCCCGCCGCCGCTTTGTCTTCAACCCCGCCTCCGTGCTTCCATGACGCTTCCTTGAGCCGACTGGCTCACCAAGAGGGCCTCTCAGCTCAATGGACATCGTCCGTCTCACCATTGCGCCGACAGCGAGTCAGATCAGGCAGGCCACGAGGTGAGAGCTGCTCAGATCGAGATCTACACTAACACGGACGGACGGTCCCACGGCATCGTCCCGGAACGCACTACCAGCTTCCAATCCCGCTGCCACCCTCTTGCTCGTGTCAGGTCGACTGTCATCCCAACTTTTCCCAAGTACTCTTTTGAGGGTCCAGGTCTCTCACCGGGGTCAGTCATGGTTGAAGAGCTAAACGGAGCTCTGATCATGGTCTGCCTCTCTTTTGAACCGTTTGTGGCTTCGCCTGCTCCCGTCTTACGTCTGTCGATGGTGGTGTCATGTCGTAAGAGCAAGAGCACCTCAGTTAAGCCCACGAGGCATGCTCGACGGGTAGCCGGGGTCAAGGACCGACATCCCAAGGGACCACCATATGGATCTTACCTGTATCTTGCCCCCGTATGGCAGATGGAAACGGCAGCCGAGCAGTGTTTTGAGCCCTTCGCAACCACAAGAATAGACTGTCAACGCATCGGCTATGGGAGGCACAAGTCCAATGGACTCGAGACCCTGGTGGTAATTCCCAACCTTCTGGAACACCTGGCTTAGGATGGAAATGGCACCGAACAATTACGGGCCTTGATCGGAGCAACTTCCATCTTGTTCACAACCGACGTTTTCAGGGTCACAACCGACACAGAGCCGGGAGTCTATGATCAATAGCCTGCGAATGACCATGCGACCGTCCGCCCCAGAAAACGGCCGCGTTATTGGCTTCGGAAGCTGAACGTTCCAGAAGGTCCCAAAGGCTCGGCGGGCCCCTCAATCGTCAAACTCGTCAAACTCGTCATCGAACAGGTGAAACATCTTTGGCGATCCATACATACGAAAGCATGTGCCCTGGTGGCGGATTCAGGCTTAGCGTTGGCGACGATATCCGTACCGTTAGGGAAAACGATGGCATGACAATTTGTCTTGCCTTTTCGGCTGCCGTTCGATGTCTCTGATGGAATGTCTCTGCCCGCTCTCGCGCCGTCGCCGCCTTTCCTTCCCGCCCGTCCTGCCGTCTCCAGTCTTTGAGCCTCGAGTCGCTGACTCTCTGCAATTGCAGCGGTGCCCCGGCCCACAGCTCCCGACAATTTCCTCTTGAGGACACGACGTTACGAACGAATGCAAAGTGGGGATCTGATAATCTCA